AGCAGCCGTAGCATATGACTTGGCAGTGCAGTCACTTAGTCTATTTGATTTAATTCCAAAGACTGAATAATCAGACTATACTTGTTCTGAAGAAACATGAGCCGACCTCAAGCTTGTGTTTATATACACATGCTACTAATCAGACAACTAAGAAGATAAGTTCACAGTCTACATGCAGGGAAGTCGCAAATCGAAGAGGGCTGATTTCTCCAGCTAAATACTTCAGGTAGTTTGAGCAAACACAGTTCTCAGCCTTGTTCCACTCACCAGGTAAGTTCCCTGAGCACTGCTGGCACAGGTTAGCCTACTGTCAAAATGCAGATAGTGGATTCATATTAAAATTGAGTAATGTCATGCCTTCTTTGCTTTAGGAAAAAGGAAAAAAGATGAAGTGACAGTGGCACCACTGACTCCAAAAAAAGTAGATGTCCCACATAAAGAACTTACCATCAGGCCTACTTAGATAAACACGCTGTTCTTGTTGGTAGAAGGCAGAGCTACCAGCAGCAAATAGAGATCTTAAGACTCTATGAAAAAAAATACTGATCTATTCTGAGGAAATGTGAAAAGGTAAGTTTTTCAAATTTTCGGTGATCTACAAATAAACTCGTTTTCCATAATTCAGGTTTTTACTCCCACTCTTGCCCAGCCTAAAAAATGCGGTTATTTTTCTTTGGAGATTTCATATCTAATGTTATTCCTACTGTTAGCTATCAATGACAAGTTCATTCAGATTAAAATAAAAAATGACAATTATCTCCCTTCTTATTTTGTTGCCTGCATGTGCATAATGTATGGTTAAGTTTGTTTTTTCAAGTCTCTGCCTGATAAGCCTTTGAGACAATGGCTGTATTTGAAAGTTGTAAAGGAAATAGTTGACGCCAAATTGTTTCCTGTCATAGAAAGAGACTTTTCCCTGAACGTATCCAGCTAAGGGTTTAGGCCAGAATCTGATTCAACGGTACATGCCAAGCCCCCTTATCATAAGCTTCATTTTTATCTGTCATACAAACCAGATAAGTTGGTGATAGACGTGGTCATGGTGCATTTAAAGTGCACTGTCTTGAGAAATTTTATTTTCAAAGCAGGAGATTAATTAAGGTACTAGACAGTTTCTTTCACCCTTTTTTTTTCTTTTAATGTTTCTGTCTGTTTCTTCCTCGTGGTTGAATGCAAGCTGGCAAGCTTCTGTGTCCATCTGTGCGGGTTCCAGGTCAAGAATCTGTTTCCCCATGGATTTTTAAATTATAATGATTCACTGAAACTCTTACGGTACTAGTATTTTCCAGATTGCCAGGCAAATACCGTATAATGGGGAAGCCTCATAGAGTCACGGATATGTCTAGTTTAGTCTTATTCATTTTTTCCAGTTCATCACTGGCTAAAGAGTCACGACAGCTCACACCCTACCGTTACCGACCACAGACCCTCCATCCCTGGATAACTGCTGTGTACAGCACGGTTTTGGAGCTCTGGGTCTCCAAAATCTGTGGTATTGCCTGTCTAGAGGGCTGTTGACTATCCGTGGTCTGTAGAAAGGGTAGAGAGTGTCTATCCTGAAAGTCTCTCTCTCCACTTAAATGAGCAGAAGTTCATGGCTGGGGAGAGACGAGGGAAAAAGGAGAGCATCCCCCACAGAAAATCAAAACACGTGTGGCTTGCACCTTCACCCGGAAAAATAAGAGTCATTATGGAAAGGATCCAACTCTGTGCAAGAGCTGTATGTGGAAAGGGACAGCTTTTCTTTAACAAGACACAGAAATAGAATAATTGAGGAGTATACTATCACTCTGTTCCCAAGCCCAGGAATAGTCTGATGTTCTTTAAGTTGTCAAGGTATTTCTCCATGAAGAAGCTTTGGTGCATGAGGGTCAGAAAATCTTGTGGAAAAACATATGCCAATGTTTTGCTCTTTAAATACTGGTGGTTTTCCCAATCTGACCTCAAGTGGATCTATAATTATGTTTATCACCGGGGACTAACAGTGTTACGTGTAGTCATGCGGTAGTGTAGTCCCAGTAATAAGAACGCTCCATTAATGACAACTTCTGTACATTTTTTAACTCCAGCTTTGGTAATGTGGTTATGATTTACTATGATGGCATGCTGTGTGATTTCAGTATGCCCCTTTGAAATATTTTGCGTTCATGGTAAGTGTGCCTTCCCTGGGGCAGTATTATTTTCTGTCTCCCTGCAATGTGATGCATTTCACAGAGATGAGGACAAGACGATCAAATCCTAGCACAAGAAGCAGAAAAAATTAGATGTTTTCCACTTAAATATGACTTAAACACTTTTAAAAGCTTCTTTGGGGCTGCCATTTTAGAATGAGATTAGTCTTTGCAGCAGCGGTAGCAAAAGCCAGATAATGTCATCATTGGTGTCTTCTTTCTTTCATCCCTCGGATGTCATGGCACAGATTGTGCTGTCCAGACATGTAGCAGACACTTGAATGAGTAGCCTCTCCCACTCCCAGCACTGCGGTATCACGTACCTGCCTGTCTCCAGTGCTGCTTCAAGTGTGGCAGATGAGCACTGTGCCTCAAGCCTTGTCACCAAGCGAGAATCTGTCTGACACCTCCCTGACGTGCTCCTTAGCCTGTTAGCCAGCCCACGCTCTGTCTCCGGTGATGAGGCCCTGCTCTGCTGCCACAGGCTTTGTTCCCAGCCCTCCCCTGGACTTTTCCCTCTGCAGCTCCTCTGCACAGAGCCAGCCCAGCTGCAGCCACCCAAACTCCAACAGGCTGTTGGGTCCCTCTGGCGTGTGTCCCCATTCATCACCTGGGTACCCAGCCCCAGCAGCTCTTGCTTTCAGCAAGACTTTATCGGGGTGAGGAAAGCAGGTAGAAGGAGGAGCTAAGGCCTGAATCGTTGTGAAACATTCAGGGTGTCTCTGCTGTCTCAGACAGTTGATGCAGGAACGTTTTACAGTTTTGCTGGTATACAGCCTGCCCTGTCTCTATTCACTGTTGATCTCATGTCATAGACTGCAGGCGTTCTCTGGGGAAAGAAGATGTGTAAAGCACTTGGGAATTAATGGCTCTATGGAAAGGAAGGTACCACCACATGCTGTTGCACTGATCCGCTGTATGTTGCTATTTCTCCTAGTAATGGATTCAGCCATCACCGGATGGTTAATGATGATGAGTGGCTGTAACCGATAGCATAACATGCATCGTATGAGTGCAAGATAGTTGGATTGTAATTAGTCGTGCGATAAGTATATGGGCTATTTTATGCTTGGATTCTTTAAAACACAAGCTGCCAAGCAAAGAGAATGAGGTATGTTTTCTTTGATAAGCACTGGTAAACTAGTTACAGCGGTACCAAGCTGAAGAGTTTCAAGTTCAGAACAACGGAAGCTACTCACAAGATCAGAACGTTTTTACACTTTGACTCCACCTGTAGGCACTAAATTCTGTTGCAACTTTAGCCTGAAATTCTTCTTCCATGCAATGCCCTGTAATTTCTAAACATGCTGAGTAAAGATTTTATTTAAAAATATAAATTGGTGGTGCCACCATATGGAATTAGTTTACAAAGAAGCCCTTTGAAATTTAAATGAGATAGTCTTCCACGTAATGATCTCCAGAGTTGCAGGAAGAAGAGTATGATTTAAATTCAGTATAGTACAGGACATAGTATGAATGGTAGTGAAATGAAAGTAGATAAATGTCTATTGCTGTATGTAGCCAGCAGAAAACCTATCGGAGACAAAGCGAGATTCTGATTCCTACTGGACTGTGAGCTCTTCTGTAGGAAGTGTGTGGGATTGGAAGTCAAAACATCTGCTCTCCGCTTCCAGTAATTTGCAACGAGCTGCCTGCGTAATCCTGAATATGTCACATCATGCCTCAGTTTTCTCTTCTTTGTCATGTGAGTAACTAATATGTTACTGTACTGTACGTATTGTGAGATTTAGTGCACTAGTATAGTAACCTGCTTTGAAAGCTTCAAGGTGCAGGAGATACAAATGTCAAAATATTATCATGCGTACAATGACACATAAAAGCATATAATCAAGAATTTAATGCCAGAATTGAAAATTAAGTACTTCATAACACTTGACCCAAATTGTTAAGTTTTCCCTTTTTAGAGTATCAAACAATAGGCTTTCTTTGAGAAGCAGGAAACTTTTCCAAGAGTATGCTTCTATTACAAGCTGTTTTCTGTCTTTGTTCTAGAAGTAATTTATGACCAAGGGATCCTAAAGAAATTTCTCTTTAGGACTAATGACTGTTACACATTCTGTTACGATTTCCAGTTGTGGAAATACATAGTACAACAGCAACAGGAAAAACACAAACCGTCCGGCATACTGCCTCATACATCAAATGTAATTTCCAGTTAACAAAGCAGTAACATGTTACTAAGAGAAGCAACGTAACACAGCAAAACAGAAGTAGGAAAGAAGTTTCCAACAATGATCGGCGTTAGAAATATGATTATTTTAATCACCAAAAGAGCTGTGAAACTTTTCTACGGATGTTCACATGCTATTTACACGGACGTGAGCTGGAGCAGCATATATATTACTGAAGATAAATTTACCAGCATGAAGCGATGCCACTTACTCCATGTGAGGGGGTATTTTCTTTAAAAAGAACTTTTTTTTAAGACACTCGATTTAAAAGTCCTGAGAGCAGAACTAATCAGTAATGGATCACAAAAAAAGTAATATTACCATGAAAACTTGGCGATAGTAAACATTTAAAAAATGCAGATGAAATCCTGAAAAAATGCCTGCACAGATACTTGGGTATGTACAGTTACTCCATAAAAAGTAACTAACTGCATTGGGCAACACTGAATGGAAAGGTTGCAACTTCTGGGGTAGAACCTCAGTCCCTTTCGTTGGATAGCTTCCGTTTGGTTTGATTAGATAAAAATTACAATAAATCAGATATCCCAGCATGCAGCTGATTTTTTTTTAAATGCTCATCTTCATACAACAGCTGTGACAAAGTATCCTAAAATAACTCTTATTTAAGAAGACAGAGACATTTCTTAGGAACAAAGCAGCTTTTGGGTCAAATGAATTCACAGCTTGTTACAACAGATGTGAGTAGAAACGCAAGTGACAGTAGTTTAGCATAAATAGGGGGAAATAACTATTTTGTATAGAGTCAGATTCTGGCCACTATAACGTCAGTGTAAATTCTGGAGTTACTCCACAGATTTCAGTGTAGTTGCTCTGGATTTACTCCGGTGGACTAGGCTGGGTGATTAGAATTGTACCCTTAAGAGATTTGCAGTCAGATAGAAGAGATTTTGCTGTGTACAGAAATAAATTGTGGCACCGGTAGCGTTGTAGAATATTTCCAAGGCATTAGCTATATTTTCTTTGGGTTTTTTCCCCCTTTTCTCTCTCTGATAGTTCTTTCAGTTCTTTCTTTTTACAGGCGTTCCACCTCTTTAATTCTGTGACTCTCTCACTTCGTTTTCCTGAAGTGTATCTTTAGCCTTTCTTTGCTGGTTGTTTTAGAATCCGTAATGATTTGACAGACACTTTTGCATCCATGTCTCCTATCGTTCTCTCTTCATCCATGGACGTTTTCATCTTTACTAAGGTCCCATTCCACCACCCGTATCTGAGCCATCTCTTAAGGTATGCCTTGCTGCTGCCAAAAAATGAAATGGTCCACTTTTGTCACTGAAAATATGGCACTGGAAACGTAAAAAGAAAATGCTGAAAACAGCCTCCAGAAAGGGGGCATTTTGCTACACTGTGGCTACAGCCAAAGTCACTGAGTGAATGTTATCAGTGACAGAGCTGCAACAAATTATCTCGTTTAGACAGTGATTCAGCATCAACAAAGAAAATCGGTAGCAAAAAAGTTCTGAAAAAAGTTGGGTTATATTAACTTATTTTATATTTCTTTCATTATTTTTGCCGAGTTCATAATGAAAGCTACTACAATGAATATATTCAATGCCATTGCTTCCAATTAGATTTAAGATCACGCATCTGAAAGTGCACTGACTAGCCAAAACCAATCAAAACATGCAAGCCTTAAAGATTATTATCAAAAAATTGGTTTCCAGTCATTTCCATCAGCTTAGAAATGTGAGTTGTGAATCTGCAAAGGAATTTAGTAGAGTAGCCTTGTCAACATCAACACCTTTGCTTGCAGGCCTCCTAAAATGAAGCTTGAGCTTTAAGTGCTTTTCTGGAGCTACATGTTAGGTTTTCTAACTGCAGACGTTCATTTACCAAAACTGTCACTATACAATGTTTATTGTGTATGACATTAAGACAGAAGCAAGGAAAGACCCCCCAAATGATCTATAACGTCTGGATAAGCAGGCTTTTTTGTTAACATGTGAGTTTCAGGTACTGAAGATCACTACAAAATATTAAGCTGTCATTTGTACAAGTCAGATCCGGCTCCCCTTTAAGTGAAGGAGGAAGCTGTTTCTGTGTTCAACAAAAGTCATACTTACACTTGCACGTGGGATGATGCTAAGTTGCAATGCAGCAGTAGAATAATGAATCTGCTGAAGGTAAACACAATGCTTTTAGATTTTGGAGAGCTACAGCAAAAGAATATTCAAAATCCAAATTGTCTGTCTGGCCTTTCGAATTTGGTCAGCTGAGAGTTATCACTTACAGAATTACAGAAACTCTCCAGTTTTGTAAAACATTCCCCCCCCCCGCCAAAATCACTTGTCTAGACTTGGCTCTGTTCCTCCACACAATCTAGCTACTGTTGATGTGAGAGCCTTTTCTTCAAAACAGGCTGCAGTCTGGGACAGCCTTTGTGTATTTCTCAGCCTCAGTGACCCTTCATCTCATTTCAAATCTCAAATAAAAACAACTCCTTTTCTCCTACTCTCAGTATACATTTTAATGTCTCTCTTCCGCTGCTCTGATTTAACTCTTGACTGTAGTACTCCCAAACAAAACCTTCATTAAGCTAGACTGCAAAGTTGAATGTAGAAAAGACCTGTTTGAACAAGTAGTTTCTGTCTGGGCAAGATTGTTTTCTACCGTATATTTACTACTATTTCAACCAGTCTGGCTTTTTAAGTATCTAAAGCTAATTAGCTTCTGTAAATTAGATTTTCTTGAAGATTATCCTTGAGAGCGATAAGTCTTAGTGTTGGAAAAATCTTCCTGGTGAAATCTCTAGTTTTTCTCTTTCTTACATGCTATAAACGTAATTACATTCCCGTATATGTTTCAGGCCTCATTTCTACAATTGTAACCTATACAGGGCCATTGAGCAAACTTGAAGCCTCACTGTTACCAGCCTACTAGAAGGATTTCATTGCAGACAGGGACCAAAAATGCTTCCTTTCTCTTGCTGGCATTCAGCCTCATCAAATGTTTGTAGGCAGTGTTCGCCCTGTCCCTTGACTGTCATTTAGCCAAAGAATGGCTAACATTTCAAAAGAGATTTGTGAATCCAGCTGCCAAACTTCAGACACCACTTAGTGTGTCCTGTTCAGGCACCAAAACCAGGAGACACCCACAATTAATTGTTGCTTTTGAAAATCCCAGACAGTCATTGTACTGAAGTCTTGATCTTTCTCAGAGATTTAATCTTTCTGGTACCTATTTCTCTCTGCTGCTTCTTTCTGAACGACTCACTTGAGTTCCTTGGTGTCTTTCAGGTAATATAAGGCCATCACTTAATACCGTCTAACTCAAAAAGAAGGCATTTTACAGGCCAAGATCTTGTGTGTTAGTTACTCCAAGCTGCAGCTGAGTTGTTTTTTTTTTTAATGGTTTCTCTTAGTCCCAAAGAGTGAATAGTAAGACTTACAGTCTTCCTCTAACCTTACCTTTAAACATACGCTGGAGCGTGGCACACAGTTTTTGACTCCCCAGTTGCGGACAAGTACAAGATTAAGGGAGGGTGCCAGTTTATGTACAGGTCTTGTCCTAATACGTTGTTAGGGTGTGGCCGGGCACGCATCCCAAACCAGGAACTAGGAGGTGTTCCTGAGTCCCACAGTTTAGACATAGATAGTCACACCTATTAATTAAGGAAGTTTCAAAAAGAAGAAAAAATACCATGCGTGTTTTTAAAGCAAAGCCGCACCGGACTGAGTGAAAGTTGTGAGTTAATGATTCAAGATTTTGATGGTGGAGTAAATGTAGTCCGTTTAGTTGCCAGGCATTCCCTGCAGCGGAAAAGTTAAAGTTTTGTAAGTCTGGTTAGCATGGAAACTTCCTCTGAACAGCTACGGAAGAAGTCACGCTCGGGAATCTATTAAGTTAGAGCGCTGGCCTGTCAATCTTTGCAGCAAATGAACATTAGTGTTCACGATACACGGCAGAAGTACCACCCTGACAAAAGCCATTTAGTTTTTCCACAGTGGAGAGACCGCCATCCGTCTTTGTGCAGAAAGTGTTATGTCTTCCTTTTAGTCAGTGATGTAAGAAGTTTCTAAAGTTACGGCAATGCTTTCCGTGTATTTGCATCCCTGTAAAATGCACAGTAGGTGGAGATGGAAATCACATTTTCACTGATCCTAAGCTCCAAGTTTCCTTGTTTAAGATGTTTAATTAAAAAAGAAAATTAACTAGTCTAATGAGATAACTTTTAAGGCATTCACATACATTTACAAGGCTAAGGAAAATGCTGTCCAAAAGAAGATGCTCATTAGTAGGATGAAGCACAAAGAACTAAATCTTGTTTACGGGAAAGTAAATTACAGTCAGATTTGCAATCTTTTAAGAGAGGCGTCTTTTTTGGGAGGCGGCGTCTCTATTCAGACATACTCTGAAGATACAAGAAGATAATGTTGCCTGATTATGTAGCTTGGCCTTTAACACATGTGAAAGTCCTGTTTTACTCACTAAATTTACCTAAAGCAATAGTGTGCGAAAAGCATACTCCTACGGAGACCTCTTCCCCTGCCCCTATCTCCAAAAACAGTAAACAAGATGAAACATACAATAACATTGGTGATATCAACTGCATATCTATGTAAAGCATGAAAACAGGGTTTTGGGATAAAACCTACTGTGGATCATCACCATTCATAGAACTTTGCATCCTTTAAATTCTTCTTCCAGTAAGACACTAGCCTGTAGAAACAGGAGGTGGGCTCTTGCCATGGAATGTATAAATAAATGTACAGGGACCAAGAAGAGCTCTTTTCTTGGTGGCAGTGTGGGTTCCAACATACTGAATTTGCCTTAAAATGTAGATAGATACTTATCAACCTAAGGAACTAGTATTACAAGAAAACAATATTTAAGTTACGTAACTAACAACATCTCAGGTTACTGAAGCCTCTTAAAATGTTAATTAGCTCTACCATTCATCTTTTTTTTTATTAAAAAATCTTATTGCGCACTGACTTGCGCACAAAGTCAGTGGCACTATTACTTACGGCAGACTCATGTTGAGCCCTTAATACTGCAGTTAGTACAAAAGAATTTGTATTTAGCTATGAAGCAGCTACAGCAAAAAATTATTTGCTCTAAAGCAATTGTTTCCACAAATTTTTTTTTAAAAGAAACATTTCTCTTAGACTGTCCTCCCCCAAAAGTTGATATTTTCAAAAAGCTGGAATTTGGGGCCACATCTGTAATGACAGTATTCCTGGAAACTACGGGTACTTTTTCCATTAAGTGACTATTTCCTTTCACAGCCTCTCTCTAAGGGAAGGGAGGTCGCGCAGAAACCCGGGGCACTGGAGAAGCATCCAGCCCTGCGGCAGAAGAAGCCAATGAGCCCGCGCGGCGGCTCTCACATCCAGAGCAGTTAAGCGCAGGTCTTCCTTAATAGCCGTGCATCTAGCAAGGTAGACCTCCCGAGTTCCCCGAAACTTGTCTGACGCGCTGGAAGTGATCGGCCATATTTGAGAAGGCTTGTGTTCGTAGGAGGTTTGCTTGGAGTGCTTTTTTCCCGAAGAATTTGGGTACAGTTAGGCTGGCGGTGGGAGGCGAGGCGGCCCGTGGCGGACGGCCGCCCT